TGCTCTGTGGCATTCAGTGGAATGCCACTGCTGCAACTAGGGGAGTGTGAACCCGAGGCAGGCCTGCAAGGATGCTTCACAGGTCTTGCGAAGCATGCAAATCTGTGTGGCCTTTCTACATTGTTTCCTTAACTCAAGTTAAAACAAGGAAAGGGGGGTGGAAAATGGCATCCACTGTGATTAAGTATTGCCAGAGGTGCTAATACATGTCTAGTACTTCTTTTTTTTTTTTTTTTTGTTAACACAATTGGTTCAAAAAGAGAGAAAGGAGGAGTGTATTTATCATAATTTCCACAGTACTTTGTTTCAGAAACTAAGGAATCGAATTGTAAGCACAATTCAGCATAATTAATTGGATAGGTTTTCTGATTTAAAAGTCACGTACCAACAATTAGAAACTACGGGAAAGAAAGTACTCTTTGAAACTAAAAGCAGCAACTATATCAGGCAGTTAAACCTTTTGTTAAAAAAAAAACTTTGATGCAAAATTTCCTTTTCTAAAGGAATAAAGAATAAAGGAGTATTCTATGTTCATGGTAGAAGAGTTACTCTTTTAAGGATGGTACAGCATGCACTAATTGCTAATTCCTTTAAATGGAATGTGGAAGATTATTCTAAATTTATGAAGCAACAGGTACAAGGATAAACTGAAAATCTTGCAAGAAACTGCCCTGTAAGTTATCAAGACAAGATTAATGTCTGGCATAGGCAGGTGGCGGGCGGGGGCGGGAAGATTTGTACTAACAATATCTGTACCCCATAATATGAGTTAAAAAAAGATTAAATGTTGGTCATGGGACAAGTCGGTGTTGGTACATGAATAGACAGGAGGGAGCAGAAAAAGCCATGTACTATCTGGACATTGGGTACCTGTAGATGACAGTTCAAATCAGGGGGGCAAACTAATGCTTCAGTTAAGTGATACTGGAAGTATTAGCTATCCAATGAATAAAATCATGTTCCTTTATTATCCATGCAACAAATGTATCGAATATGTGTATAGGATCTAACAAAAAAAATTAAAGTTATAGAAAAAATAAGAATGGGGAGGCCTTTTTAAGCAGGATTAGTAACAAGCAAAATCCTAAGAACATAGTTTGTAAAATTTAAATTTTTGTACATAAATGACACTGGAAGCAGAAGTTTAAAGACGTTTGCACAGTTACAAATGAGTAACAGGCAAGGAGTATTAGGGAAACAAAGGAGTCCCTTGGTTTGCTGAGCCCTCATCCAACTTAGGGTAATTTGGGAGTTTGGGTTGTTGCTTGGTGGCAGCATTAGCAAGTCAAGTGACTAATTGATTTATGCAAACATAGTAGAGCAATGTGTTATTCTTCTCTCTTGAAGGGAAACAGAAGTGAAAAAGAATAAGGCACAATGTCCCAGTTGGTGCAAAATCAGGATGGAAAGGGCGGGTCCAGATTTCCAGCAGTATTCAACCCTCAAAGGTGCGTGGTTAGTTTGAAAATGGTTCCTTCATCCATTGCAGGTTGGCCTTGGCTGTCTCTCCTCACCTTGTTAGCTAATTAGAGACAGGGGCAAAGTTGATTTCTCCCAACAGCAAAAAAATACAAACAGGCAGAAATGAAAGGACAATTATAATCAAACTGGAGGTTCCCCTTAGAGGAATGAGCCCAGGGCCCTCTGCCTCTTTCTGGCCTGATCCATTTCGCTCTCTTCAAAGGAGAGCCAGAAATCCACAAGTCAACAGTCTTGCTTCAAACAATGTTTTATGTATTTCTAATTAGCGTGCTTCACTTCAGCAGCAACATATACTAAAATTAAATGATACAGAGAAGATTAGATGGCCCCGTGCACAAGGATGCATTGCAATTTATGAACATTATGTATTTAATAAAATATAGATTCTCAGGAGTGGTAAGATATTGTATAGTATAATATAATCTGTAAAGGAAGGGTATTCAGAGATCAGTACAAGAGAGTTGAAATTCTTTTAAAATTTATAATTGTCAAAATTAACTGTCAAAGATTGGAGAAAGAATTTAAGAGTATCTAAAAGCAATAAATAAAGATATAGAAAAGCAGGCTCTTTGGGAAGAATTGGGTCCAAATTCAATCCAGAAA